CAGACGACCGGCGATGCGTGTGTGGTAGTTTGAGCTAAGGTTCACTTTGTCCATAACTCCTCCCTTCTACAACCTTGGGGTGCCCCTTGAGGCCTAACCCAAGTGTTGTCACCTAGAACTTATATACATACATAAGTTCTCTTCAAGTTTTAATGTGGGACAAGCCTTACAAGGAAACTCACATTTAATTCTTTAAATGTCTATTCCACGAACCCGAAAACGACGTCAAGTTCCCATTCACTCATAAATGATTTTGACGAACCGTCTTCACCGTGTGACTTGCTACGCGGCAAGGAACATGTCACCTTTTCGGACTCATCCCAAAAGACATTTGAAGCCCACTCAATTTTGGGCTCAAAGTTACCCCAAAACAAACCTATATAAAACCAATTTTCCAACACCTCAAGCGTCGACAAGGACAAGGACAGTGTAACGGATTTTGCTTCGCGAAGCTATCCAAGCATGTTGATCACATTGAGTGGCATCCTTTCCAAAATCAAAGTTGCCAAATTGGGACAATACCCAGCAGAGTGATGAATTGGCAGAGTCATCTCCTAAACGATGAAGATGCAAAGTGTTTAATGCCGGCAATCGCAAGGGCTTGTCCACAGGCAAACTAACGCACCTAGAATTGACCAATTTGAGTTGTTTTAAAGAAGCGCAGTTAAAGAAGCAGAGAGGAAATTCATAGGGTTGTGTATAAGCTATAAACTCTCTCCATTTCATACTAATCTGATGAATAGGTTGGAGACCATTTTCATCAAAATTGAATTTGAAAAAACATTCTAATACAACCTTAAAAATGATCTTACTTGACATGTCTTGAAAGATGGTATTTTTTTATTTTTTATTAGAGAAATTTCAATTTATTGTAATTTTTTTTAAAAAAAATTACATATAATTGATAAGCTTCATACATATTAATAATTAGAGTAATTCTATTTACATATTATGAATTTTCTTAATACACTCCATGAAAATAATAAATTTATATTATAATAATAACTTTAAATAAAAGGACTATTAAGGATAATAATGGTGTGTATTCAAAGAATTCATGCATTACTCTATGTACACAATGCATATAGATGAGAAATGTTATGATGTGTATTATATATAAATTATGTCATTTGTGAATTTGATTATTATAATAACTTGATCTTACACGAGTCACAACTAAAAAAATAACTAATAACACAAGATCACATAATGTATAACAAAAAACTCATGGATCATAATCAAAATAATGTTATAACCAACACACAATGAGTCATAACTAACAATATAATAAATTATAATCAAATACACAAAGATCATAACTAGGAATGCATATGATACGCACCCCAACCATATAATTTCCCCATATAGTTATATAAATGATGTATTTTCTTACCATCTCTCAACACTTATCATATTTTTCATTATAATCTAACATGTTGCATTCATAATATTATTCATTATCAACTACTTTACCTCATTTTTTTCTCCATTATAATTCTATTCCCAACTTAAAACATTATTCACACTGTTTGGTTTACTCTGTTTTTTGAAAATTATGTTTTTTTTCTGTGATTTTTTTAATATTTTACACAAATTCTTTTATTTTTAGATACATTTAATCTAGACACACTTACAAAATATAATTTTTTTGAATTTTTTTTTAAATTATCAAAAATAAAAAAACACAAAAATTCCGTACATTGTCAAGATTAGGTGGATCTAAAAAGTAAATAAAAAAAAAGAAGATTAAATTATTTTAAAAAATAGTAAAAATATAAAAATACAAATTAAAAATTTAGAAAATTATTTTTAAAAATTTCAAATCAAACATAGTGATTGTATTTAAAAATTTAAGGTTTAAAGAATATTAGAATCAATCAATTTTGCAGATTTGTACATCATGGATGACATTTTGATTATTGATTTGAAACAATACAACAATGAAAAGGATAATTAACTACTTATAAACTGGACTTTGTGTTTTTTTGTTTTTTCATAAAGTCATTGGGTGGATGATTTTGGTCGTTACACATTTAAATAACTAGAACATTTGCATAATATTTAAATATTCATATGTGATCAAAGCTATTTTGTTTAAATTATTAAGGTTGATCAAACATTAAATATTTATATATAAAAAATTGAGCATAATAAGTCCAGACGAATTAAAGTTGTTCATCATAAAAAGTATGAACTTATTTTTGTTCAACAGAAATAATTAGAACATATTAATAACTGCTCAACTAGGCGAAGCTAAGCTATACTCTTTGCACTCACTTCTCCTTTATTGATATATTTTTATATAAATTGTATGTTAGTTTCATCAATAATTTCATCAATAAAAAATTTCTTCTTTTGCTAATTAAAAAATAATAATTGTCCAATTTTGTTTTGTCATATAATAATGATATGTTCAGACAACCAATGTCGAGCCAGATTTGAAAAATTAACTTAAGTTAGATTCAAATGTGACAATCGTATATCTCTAGAAGTCACAATCCAAGATCTTCAATATCGACAATACACTGATCTGTACTCAAATCTATTATGGCCCTGTTTGGTAAGACTTATTTTCAGCTTATTTCAGCTTTTAGCTTAATTTAAGCTATTTTGATGTGTTTGGTAATAATACAGCTTATAGCTTTTTGTAAGTCAAAAATCAACTTATTTTTTGAGTGGGGGAGGAGAAACTTAATTTATAAGTCAAAAATCAGCTTATGATCACAGTTATAAGTTATAAGCTACTAGGCTATAATCACTTTCCCACAGCTCTACCAAACGGGGCATATATGTGTCTTAGGGTAAAAAATGAAGATTGTAGTGTGTTTTAAGTAAAAAAATCAAAAATTTAAAATACCAAAGGTGTGAAGTAATTAGCAATGGGTACTGAGACATTTTATGGTGTTTAAATAGGATTTCTCTAATAATTAAAAGGGGTAAATTACAATAAACACCTTTAAACTATGACTCATTTATATTCTATTCTTGAACTTCAAAAGTTAACTGTCAACTCTGCGCAGTATTATCTTATTACAGTTAACATTTTGTTAGGTATTTACAGAAAATTAGATCATGTATAAAGCACATAATACATTTATTAAATTTCATTTAAAAAATTTCATTTCAATTACATTTATTTTGGCATATTTAAAAAAATTCCATTTAATTTACATTAATTTTTTTGTTATACATTTGATTTGATTTTAATCTATCGTATTACAATGAAACCAATAAACTATATCTAAGGAAACATGTGATATATTTTCATCAACAAATCTTTGGAGCTTTTTTATTCTTTTCATCAACAAAGGCTAAAATAATTATTTTTTTTGATATTAAAGATTCAAACTGAAGTTTGAATTTTGGGTAAAATTATAAATACATTATTGAAATTTACTTAAAATACGACTTGTCTCATATGTTTATGAAAATGATAAATACTGTATCGTTAAATTTTTTTATTTAACAAATTAACAAAAAAAATAAAATTCCTAACTATTCTCCTATACAACAATAAAATTATTTAAATTGTTAATCAAAATATATCTTTGACATCAATAAAAATTATTAATTGACTTGATAATTTATTAATAAAATGTGTAATTTGTTATGCAATTAGAAACCTAAAGAGGGGATATAATTTTTAAAATTATAAGAAACAATTCATATTTTAAGTAAATCTTTCTCTTTTTTTTGTTCATAGTCAACTTCATTTTATATATATATATATATATATAGATATAACTTTGCAAAACAAAATTAAGAAAAAACATTTTAAATCTCGCCAAACATGGTATGTTTGTTTTAAAATGTGATTTTCTTTTTTCTCAGGGTGTTTCGCAACACTTACAAAAATCATTTTTTTCAGGTTTTTTTTTTTTTTTTTTTTTTTTTTTTTTTTTTCTTAAATACAATTTTTGAGTTTTTATTTTTCACATTTTTTTTATCTTTAGTAAAAAAAAATTCATGTTTCACTAAATTTTATTTTAATTTTTAGATACACCTATCTAAATGCACCTAAAAAGTAAAGGCAAATCTAACAAGTGGAAAAAAAAATTCTACAATTAAATTGTTTTTTTGAAAAGGTCAAAATAAGCCAAAAAAATTCTACTATTTTTATTTAATTTTGGCTTTACTGGGCTTTTTTTGGAATTAATTTTTCGGCTCATCTTATTATTGAACTGAATCTAAGAGATATTGCAATCGCAATAAATATCACACATGTACTCATTTGAAAACGTGCTATTTTAATAACTTTTTAATTTTATAAAAAGATATACAAAAAAATAGAGAGAATGATGTAACAACTTATAACAAACAGTATATTACTACTATTTATTTTTCAACCAGAATATTAAAGCTCGGCTAAACCTTTTTTACTCAAAACAAAATTAAGAAAAAACATTTTAAATCTCGCCAAACATGGTATGTTTGTTTTAAAATGTGATTTTCTTTTTTCTCAGGGTGTTTCGCAACACTTACAAAAATCATTTTTTTCAGTTTTTTTTTTTTTTTTTTTTCGCAACTTTTTTTTATTTTTTTTTTTTTTTTTTTTTTTTTGTACTTTATCAATTTTTTTACTTTTCTGTTCCATTTTGTATAGGCAAATCTAACAAGTGAAAAAAAAAAATTCTACAATTAAATTGTTTTTTTGAAAAGGTCAAAATAAGCCAAAAAAATTCTACTATTTTTATTTAATTTTGGCTTTACTGGGCTTTTTTTGGAATTAATTTTTTAGCTCATCTTATTATTGAACTGAATCTAAGAGATATTGCAATCGCAATAAATATCACACATGTACTCATTTGAAAACGTGCTATTTTAATAACTTTTTAATTTTATAAAAAGATATACAGAAAAATAGAGAGAATGATGTAACAACTTATAATAACTTTTTGATTTTTTAACTAAATATATAATTAACAAACAGGTGGAAACCATCTACAAGGATGGGGCCACCCAAGAACATCAGCTAAACCAACATACATAGAAAATGCCAATACAAAACCAATAACATTCCCATTAATTCATAAGATATTTTGGCAAACTCAATAATAGGTAGCATTTACTAAACTATCCACCATTTGCAAAGATAAAGTCTAGTTGCCTCCATTTACCTTGCAACTTTCAGGCTCTGTGTAAGCAGAGTTGAGCTCTAACATTTGCTTCAATCTCTTCAACAATAGTTCTAGAGTCCCTGCAATTATCCGATATAATCTAGCATTCTGCTCCTTCCACAACCAAGAAACCAATAACCCACATGTACAACCACCCCATATTTACAGTCTACTTAAAAACTATTTACAACTACCCTAGAACTACAGGGGCCTTCTCACTATTTGGAGCCGAACTTGAAGGATTTTGGAAGATTGATCTGCACAATCAGTGATAACAGCATGAAATAATATTGGAAAACAAAATATCTATGAATTAAAGCACAATTCTGTAAATAATATCTACATACAAAACTTGAGACTAATTTTATATGAAAGCATGACAATCCTTATGGGGCTTGTTTGATGGGACGTATTATACCATAGAATTTGGATTATTAATCTATGAGATCCACATTTCATTGTTTGGTTATAAATTTTATTTTTTAGATTAGATTTCACTGGCCATTCTAACCTAACCAAACCAAACAAAGCCTTAAGTCCCATCAAATGGGGTCGGCTACATGAATCATTCTTCTCCACGCGGCCCTATCAAAGGTCATTTCATTAGTCAAATTAAGTAGATTCATATCTCTATTTATAACGCTAGCCAATGTTAATCTAGGCCTACCCCGTCCCCTAACACTTCCATCTACCATTACAGCATCGCATCTCTTCACTACTGCCTCTGTTGGTCTCCGTTGAATATGACCAAACCATCTCAATCAATTTTCTCTCAACTTATCTTCTATCGGTGCTACTCCTACCCATTTCCGAATACACTCATTCCTAATTCTGTCTTGTCTAGTCTTACCACACATCCACCTTAGCATCCTCATCTCAACCACATTCATCTTATGTACGTGTTGTTTCTTGGTTGCCCAACACTCCGTCTCATACAACATAGCCGGTCTAATAGCCGTCCTATAGAACTTACCTTTTAGTCTAGTGGGTATTCGTTTATCGCACAATACTCCAGACCCACTTCTCCACTTACACCATCCCGCCTTAATCCTATGGGCCACATCTGCAGCAATCTCTCCCGTTGTTGTGATAATCGACCCTAAATAATGAAAATGTTCACTCTTAGGCAGTTGGTTCTCAATCTTCACTTCTCCTCTACTTTCATTGTTACTGTTACTAAATTTACACTCCATGTACTCTGTCTTAGTTCTACTTATCCGGAATCCTTTAGATTCAAGAGTAGTTCTCCAAATCTCCAACTTTGTGTAAACTCCTTCTCTAGTCTCATCCACTAGCATAATATCGTCTACAAAAAGCATACACCATGGCACGTCATCGTGAATATTTCTCGTTAACTCGTCCATAACTAAAGCAAAAAGATAAAGACTTAAGGTAGATCCTTAGTGTAACCCTACAGTGATAGGAAATTCATTTGTCTCTCCAGTTAGCGATCTAACAGTGGTCACCACCCCTTCATACATGTCTGTAATCATGTCAATGTAACCTTTTGTCACCCCTTTCTTCTCTAACACCCACCATATTATATTCAGGGGCACTCTATCATATGCTTTCTCAAGGTCGATAAATACCATATGAATGTCTCTTTTCTTTTCTTTATACTTTTCTATTACTCTCCTCAAAAGATAGATTGCTTCCATTGTTGACCTACCAGACATAAACCCAAATTGATTCTCTGACACCTCTGTTATTTCTCGTAATCGGCGTTCCATCACCTTTTCCCACACTTTCATTATATGACACATTAGCTTGATTCCTCTATAATTGTTACAATTCTAGGCATCACCTTTATTCTTATAGATTGGCACTAAAATACTCTTCCTCCACGCATCTGGAATGTTCCTAGTCAACAAAATTTTGCTAAACAACCTAGTCAACCAAGCAACTCCCTTTTTACCCAAACACTTCCAAGCTTCAATAGGGATATCATCGGGTCCGAAAACCTTATTGGATTTCAGCTTCTTAAGTGCAATCTCCACTTCAAAATTCTTAATCCTGCGATAGAACCTATAGTCTTGGTTTATCGTATTACTGGCTATTTCTTCCCCTATTGCCGTACCTCCATGTTCCTCATTTAATAGTTTCTCAAAATAATTATTCCATCTTTCCTTAATCTCTTCATCCTTCACCAATACCTTAGAATCCTCACTCTTGATGCACTTTACTTGATTAAAATCTCTTGTTTTCCTCTCCCGTATCTTAGCAAGTTTGTATACCCTCTTCTCTCCCTCCTTACTATCTAATCTAGTGTATAGGTCATCATAAGCTTTCAACTTAGTCTCTCTCACTACTTTTTGACCTCCTTATTAGCTAATCTATAGCTCTTAAGGTTTTCCTCAGTTCTATCATTTTGCCACTTTTTAAAGCACACTTTTTTTACCTTAACTACCGCTTGAACCTCTTCCCTCCACTACCAAGTTTTCCTAGAGTTGGGTCCTGTTCCTTTCGACTCTCCAAGTACTTCCCTTGAGATTCTCCTCATACAATTGGCCATCAAGTTCCAACAAAATAACAAATTTTTTAATCCTACAACTAATAACACAAATACATATCCATATCTACTACAAAACAAACATGAATAAGAGAGCATTATGTATCTTGCTAATTCAGTTGGATAACCAATCCTATACTAATCTCATAAATTATTAATTCCCTCACTATTAATCCTACTAATCAAACAGGCCCTTGATGTTGTGCCCTAGTACATAAATCAATTGGAGATTAACTGCTAATAACTTCATCTAATTGGAAGGTTCAGTTATAAGAGACTCAAACTTTAGGGGTTCAAACACAGCCAACGATATGCATCAACACACATTTACTACTTTAGATACTACAATCGCAATTTGCACAACACAAAATGACCCCAAGAGCCAGAGGTGTAAGAAGGAATTATTAGGTGTCACCAATTTTTTGTCACTTTTTTGTATCATGTCTATATGGACACTCATGATTAGTTTCTTGTTTGGAAATGATTATTAAAGAAATACTGGAGAAGAATAATATCTAGTCATGTATTTCAGGTCATTGTTGTCAAATCATTAATTTAATCAAGTATCGATTTGCTAAATAAGTGAATCATGAATCATATCGAATTGTGAATCATAAGATTTGCTTTATTTAAATATTAAATAATTGTATACATGCATGTACAAATAAGAAAATATGGAGTGTTTAAATGAAATAAATAAATATCAAGACAACTACATTATATATATATACATATATATGTAAACTCACATTTATTAAAATAACTAATCATTTATTCTTTTTATTTATTGGTTGAAAGAGGAAATCAATATTGATTCATGCTCCTCAAGACGGTCTCAATCTTAGGCTCTTCTACGTGTGAGGCTCCCCCGCCCCCACATCCTCCCCCGCTCTTGCTTCATGCAACTAAAATGAAACCTAGTTCTCCTAACACCTTATAGCACTTTCACCATTGTTCCACTCTCCGCAAACCCATCCAATTTCAGCCACATATTGAAATTTTTTGAACCTTATAAATCATGAAAGAGTTCCCTTTATAGAAACCAATCTAAATTTTTAGATTTAAATTTACTTGCAACTCTAAAGTTTGTTTTTTCTTAATCAAACAATTTGATAGCTACCAATATTCATAAGTTCCATGTCATCTACATGAAGGTCCTTTCCAAGTTTCTACAATGTTTGCAAATGTTAGAATTTTTTGTTGTAGTATCATAATACATCTTCCAGATATCACGTAACATGATCAAGTTTGCCAACATTTTTAATTCCCAACAATGAATCAGTCATCATAATTACCAAATTGCTTGAAATCTATGATATTAAAGCATGGAGTTGACAATTTATTGCCACTTACTGCATTCAAGAAAAGAAGAAAAAAATTAAAAAATAATTTTACAAAAAGAAAAAGGAAAAGAGAAGATATAGAATTTTAGAAAAAGAATCACAAGCACAAGATTCATAGACATGACAAATAAGAATGCTAATCAGTATTCTTAAAACTTACCATTTTTCATTATGAATGCTTTCCATTTACACCTAAGGACATAAAAAAACAAAATCAAAGTAAAGATTAGATCATAATTTGAACAAGGCAGTTTGTACCAAATTTTAACTTTTTAAAATTAGTTACACAAGGTATGTGCATTTTAAAGGGTACAAACATGAATAAAAATGGATCAATTATTACCTAGGGAAGAAGTTCATAACCAAGGTTTCGCCATATGAGGAACCTTGGGCCAAGTAGTTAATCACATTTAGAAGTAGAGATAAAGACGTCGATAAGTATAATTTCTCAATAAATATAATTTTGTTACGCCTGTCAAACCATTTATATTATTGCTACTGTGGCGAATCCAAATCCAGTGTAATTACATCAAATTGGTGAAGCTCAATCCAATTTTCTCATTACTTGGGAGAAGTAGTGTAATTTACCCCTTTAGAAAATATGAATATGACAAAAAATTATGGAAGGTGTAAGAGTACAAATTAATTACTGGGTGTAAATAGATCCAGCCCATAAATCATATGAACAACCATGAAATACAAACTCAAATGCAAATACATCACAATTAGAAGGGAACATGACTGCTACCGACCTTCCAAAACAACCATTCATGTGATTACACCACCAAGAACCTTTTTTTTTACCCCGTGAAAATAAGCACCTACTAGATATATCAAAATATATACACCACAGAAGGGGCTGCCTTTGTATTGAAACCATCTTGGAGGATGGAGCCATCCAAGAACATCGCCAAACCGAACACACATAGAAAATGCCAATACAAAACCGTTCCCAACAATCCATACAATGTATTGGCAAACTCAATAACATGTAGCATTCACCATTTGCAAAAATAGTCTAGTAGCCTCCATTTATGTCGCAACCATCTGTTCGGCTGATTGTGTGCAATACCTTTGAGTAAGCAAAGTCAAGCTCTAACATTCCTTTCAGTCTGTTCAACAATAGTTCTGGAGTCCCTATAATTATCCGATATAATCTAGCATTCCGCTCCTTCCACAACCAAGAAACCAATAACCCACATCTCTCACTACATGCAATTCAACCACCCCACACTTACAGTTTACTTAAAAACTATTTAGAACTACCCTAGAACTACTGGGGGCTACTCACTATTTGGAGCTGAACTTGAAGGATTTACGAAGATTGATATGCACAAACAGTGATAACAGCGTGAAATATAATATCTATGAATTAAAGCACGATTCTGTAAAAATAATATCTACATCCAAAACTTGAAACTAATTTTATATGTAAGCAAGTACGGCAATCCTCTTGGGGCTTGTTTGATTGGACGTATTATAGCATAGAATTTGGATTATTAATCTATGAGATTCACATTTCATTGTTTGGTTGCAAATTTTATTATTTGGATTAGATATCATTGGCCATTCTATCCAACAAAATTAACGGATTTTGTAATCCTATGACTAATAACACAAATACATATCCACATATACTACAAAACAAACGAGAATAAGTGAGCATTATGTATCTCGCTAATCCAACTGATAACCAATCCTTCACTAATCTCATAAATTGTTAATTCCATCATTATTAATCCTGCTAATCAAACAGGCCTTGATGTTGTGCCCCAGTACATAAATCAATTGGAGATTAACCGTTGATAACTTCATCTAATCGGAAGGTTCAGGGTAAGAGAGACTCAAATTGTACGGGTTCAAACACAGCCTATGATATGTACCAACACACTTATTACTTGAGATACTCCAATTGCAATTTGCACAACACAAAATGACCCCAAGAGCCAGAGGTGTAAAAAGGAATTATTAGGAGAAATGCTATGTCACCAATTTTTTGTCACTGTTTTGTATCATGTCTATATGCTATTATGCATGGACATGGACATGGGACCGGGACACGGGACATGACATGGACATACAGACACGCAAATTTTCAAAAAATAAGAAAAACAACACGCTGGGACACGTTTCATGTATATAATTTCATTTATTTATTATATATACTTAATAGTAGATAGATGGGCACAGACAAAAGAAAGAAAGCTCTAATCGGTTCCTATAAAATTACAATAATAATAAAATTAATTACATATTGCCTAAAAAATTTAATAAAAATTAATTTTTTCCAAATAAAAATAATTTGTTCAATGAATTTTAGGTTCAACAAACACAAGGCTAGAAACCCCTATCTGAAAAAGAAAAAAAAAAAGCATACCAAAAAAAAAAAAAAAAAAAAAAAAAAAAGAAAAAAAGAAAAAAAAAAAGCGGGGGGAAAGCGAGGGGAAATAAAAAAAAGGAAAGAAACAAAATATTAAAAAAAAAAGGAGAGAAACGAAATCAAAAAAAAAAGGGAAAAAAAAAAGGAAACAAAAAAAAGGGGAACAAAATGGAAACAAAAAAGAAAGACGAAATCAAGAAAAGGGAGAAACGAAATCACAAGAGGGAGGGGAGAGAGAAACGAATTCAAAAGAGGGAGGAGAATAAGAAGAAATGAAGAGGAGAAGACGAAATCAGAAAAGGAGAAGATGAAAAGAAGAAGAACAAAGAGACAAAAAGCGTGTCATCATGATACAGGTTAGGGTTTCTTCAATCTCTTCCCTCTCTCTCTCTCTCTCCAACAAGTTAGGCTTCTTCAATCCACCTCGCGTGTTTGAAACGTGTCATCGCGTATCCACCCCGTGTCTGACTAGAAAAATTCAAAAAAAATAAAATAAAATAAAATGGGACACGTTAGGCAGAGTGTCGAACACCTTTCCACAGCATGTCTGACTTGTGTCCGTGTCCGACACTCGTACGTAGGCTCCAGGGAGGTGTCCGTGCTTCATAGTCTATATAGATACTCATGATTAGTTTAGGAACTAATTATTAAGAAATAATAGAGACGAATAATATGTTGTCATGTATCCCAGGCCATTGTTGTCAAATCATGAATCTAATCGAGAATCGATTTGCTAAATAAGTGAAAGATGAATCATATCGAATTGTGAACCGTAAGATTATTTTTATTTAAATATTAAATAATTTTACACATGCATATACAAATAAAAATATACACAGTGTTTCAAATGAAATAAATAAATATCAATACAAGTACATTATACATGTATAAAATCACGTACATTAAAATAACTAATTGTATATTTATTTATTTATTGGTAGAAAAAGGAAATCAACGTTGATTCATGTTTGTCAAGACGGTCTCAACCTTAGGCTCTGTGCAACTAAAATGAAACCTAGTTCTCCTAACACCTTATAGCACTTTCACCATTTTTCCACTCTCCCTAAACCCATCAAATTTCAGCCACGTACTGAAATTTTTTGAACCTTATAAATCATGAAAGACTTTCCCTGATAGAAACCAATCTAAATTTTTGGATTTAAATTTACTTGAAACTCTAAAGTTTGGTTTTTCTTACTGAAACAATTTGATAGCTACAAATATTCACATGTTCCATGTCATCTACATGAAGGTTCTTTCCAAGTTTCTACAATGTCTGCAAATATTTTACCGTAGAATTTTTTGTTATTGTATCATAATGCGTCTTCAAGATATCACATAACATGATCAAGTTTGCCAACATTTTTTGATTCCCAACAATAAATCATTCATAATTACCAGACTGCTTGAAATCTATGGTATTAAAGCATGGAGTTGACAATTTATTGCCACTTACTGCATTCAAGAAAAGAGGAAAAAAAAACAAAAAATAAATTTACAAAAAAGAAAAATAAAAAGAAATATAATTTTAGAAAAAGAATCACAAGCACAGGATTCATAGACATGACAAATGAGAATGCTAATCAGTATTCTTAACACTTACCATTTTTCATTGTGAATGCTTTCCATTTACACCTAAGGACATAAACAAAACAAAAAAAACAAAATCAAAGTAAAGATTAGATCATAAGTTGAACAAGGTAGTTTGTACCAAATTTTAACTTTTAAAATTATTTAGATAAGGTATGTGCATTTAAAGGATACAAACATGGATAAAAATGGATCGATTATTACCTAGGGAAGAAGTTCATAACCAAGGTTCCGTCACATGATAAACCTTGGCTCAAGTAGTTAATCACATTTAGCGGTAGAGATAAAGACGAGGATGATCCTCCTTGTGTCAACTGTAGATGCTTCAACTTGTGAAATGGAGAAGGATGACTTCTGAGAGAATCAGGATCCATTGCAAGAACCTTACCATATGCAAAACAAATAAAAACAGAAAATTAATTTGGACTCAATAGCTAAGACAATTTAAAGATAGCATTAGGCAATAACAAGTAGTAGTTGGTGAGTGCTTGTTTATTTTTATATATGATCCACACGCCTACAACAAATTGTACATTGTTATATATGAGGCTGGAAATGCAGCAAATAGCTACGATAGATATACCACAATTGGAATTCAGCATGACTATTTGTAACTACTCAATTTGATTTAAATGACTACCATACTATAGTATTTGGTAAAAATTGGATGGAACATCATAATCTATGGAAATGCACTACAAAGGGTATCATAGCAATCTTATTACTAATTTCAAAAAATTTCAAAAGCAAACAGTTTACTAAGATAGTTATTTGCCATCCTAGTCCACAAAGGTGAGCCAATTACTCCTAAAAGCAGTTATAATTTATAAACTAAGAAGCACCGCACCTCATGTGTGGCCAAACTCCTCCCCAAGAGTGAATAAACACATGGATATAATTTATTATTGGACAAGCAATGAGATTTGAGCTTAGAGTCTTTCCTTGTTTTATGCTATGTTTGAGAGTTTAATCAACTCAATGAAGTATAACTATGGCTTTTCATATCATTAACATTCTAGTGATAATAAATAGAAATTTACAATCGATTGTCAAATGCAGAAATGTAATTTAAAAAATAAAATAAACTACAAAAGTTATGGAAATTCCCAAAGTTGATGACTGGGGAAATTTTTTTTGCATCTCGAACTTCTTAAACAACCGAACTTCATAACTCCAAAATTGGGGAAGCTAGAAGTAAGCTCGGCAATTAAATTTTTTCGTCTCTGAAAGTGGAAGGCTGTAAAAGATGCACAACTAATAGACAAGGCTTTTAGTATATCCGATTCCTTTTTTCAGTAATCAAGGTGGAGAACAAATGTGATATCTCAAGGCTTCACCGCATAAGAATTTGGTACGAATCAAAATGGTAAATCAATGCGAGAATTTACTACATCGCTAGCTCTTGGACACTTGAGGAAGGACTTCCAGTCCACATGTCATTCTCATACTTCTATCGACACCAGAACTAGAATCTGACTGAACCAATCAATTGCTGATGCATTCACTTCATGGACATCAAAGAAGCAATATATGTAATCTACCATCATTCCTCGAGTTCACCCTGTGAAACCCTAGCTAAAAAAAGACTTTTTTAATCTCTAGACAATGTGATGGGTTTGGTTCAATGATGTTGAATGGAGTCAGGAGAAAGCATCCTTCAATTCATCCACCGTAATTTCCACCCGCCCCTAGGAAGCATGGATATGGATATGATACAATACGGATACAGATACAGCAAAATTCCTGTTATTTGCGAACAGATGGCCTAAAAAACAAGACATCAGATAGCAGTAACTGTCGTAAAAGGGGTCACATGTGACCGAGGGCAATGTTGCATGTTCCATTTGCAATATGATTTTTGTGTAAAAGCATGCATTCAAGTGGCGATTTTGCTTTGAGATAAAAGCACAATTTCAAATTTCAATTTCACTGCAGCCATGTTGGCTAAATTACGAAGGTGGCATGTGAGAAACTCAGCATAACATCACATCTTGAGCTTACCAAATAACAGTAATGAATTTTTACAACATATTATTTAAAATCCTATGAGAGATGGTTCAACAATACAGTCAATAGCATCAATTACCTCAAGCGTCGACAAGGACAGTGTAACGGATTTTGCTTCTCGAAGCTGTCCAAGCATATTGATCACATTGAGTGGCATCCTTTCCTTGACGATTGAAGCAAGCTGAAACCTATAAAACATTGGGATCACATCCACATATACATGGTCCAAACAGGGAAAGCTGGCCGGAGAAAAGACAGGCGAAGCATGACCTTCGAACTTGAATGAAGTCAGTCTAGGTGCTGAAATCACAATCTCCGATTCATAATACAGTCCAAGAGAATCTTCAGCGTAACATAATTCCAACTTCCTAAGTTTAGGGGCAGTGATATTAAAACAATTAAGGTATAAGCAATCCAAAATCAAAGTTTCCAAATTGGGACAATTCCCAACAGTCTGAGTGATGAAATTGGCAGAGTCACGTCCGAAACGATTAAGATGCAAAGTCTTTAATGCCGGAAATCGCAAGGGCTTGTCCAGAAGCATACTATTGTTGCCACAATTGGCCAATTTAAGTTCTTTTAAAGAGGCATAGTTAAAGAAGCAGAGAGGAAAATCATCGAGCTCTGAATAACCAAATGCGTTGAGATGGAGTTGTTGAACATTGTGGCGAACTGCGTAAGATATGCATTTCTTGAACAGGCATGGGTCAACAAGATAACCGGACGAGAAGTAGAATATGTAGACATTGGAGTTGTTATCTCGGAGAGCCAATACCTGATTGACGAAGCGTTTGAAACGAGACATACTGACCTCATCTAGTTGATTGAAATCGAAGCGGAGGTTGGGGAGGGAAGTCCAAACATACCGCCATCGTTTTGACAGCACGCAGGTCTGAATTGCGGAGGCGAGGTCGTCCATGGAAGAGAGGATTTCGTGAAGAATGGAATCTGGTAAACTGCTGATTCTGTCTTTTTCTTCTTCTTCTTCTTCTTCTTTTTCACCATCATCGTTTACTTTCTTTTTCCTCTGATTCCTCCTTCGTTTCATGCCTACTTTTTTTAGCAGTTCAAGCTTCCCTTTTTTCTTTTTCTTTTTTGGTTTGTGTGTGTTAGTGAATCGTTCAACTTGGAGAAGCTAGCTGAGCGGTGGTGTTTGGCGAGGCTGGGGAAAGATGTAAGAACATTGGGATGAGAGGGATTTTCTTTGAGCCAAGTTTCTCTCCTTGCAGCCTGGTACTTGCGCCCGTCCTTGCAGGCTTTCGGGTCTACTTTTAGGCCCAATTTTAATAATCCGAACCGTTCATATTTTATGATTTATTCAGTATATGATACCTGTAAAAAATCAAGTTGATCGGATATCAGAAAGTATGTGTTTGGAAAACTGTTTATTAAATTATTTAAAAAATAGTTTTTAGTTCAATTTTTCGAACACATACTTTCTGATATCCGATCAACTTGATTTTTTACAGGTATGATATACTGAATAAATCATAAAATATTAACGGTTCGGATTATCAAAATTGGGTCTAAAAGTAGACCCGAAGGCTTACAAGGACGGGCGCAAGGATGGAGGCTGCAAGGAGAGGATCCTGATTCATTTTCTTTTGGGGGGCATTTAAGGCTTGTTATTAGCTGTCGTGTTTGGAGACGGTATTCTTCATTTTCTAGGACAACTTTGCATTTCTTTATTTTGTATCAAATTTTACTTTGTTCCTTACATATAAAATTATAATAATCAATTTGTTATATTTTTAGTCAAATCTTACTTTAGTTCTTACATATAAAATCGTAACAGTTAATTTCCTACACTTGTGGTCAAGTGTCTATTTGCCCTTTCTATTATTCCATTATTTAAGTTTTTATTAAAATTCAATCATATAACAAATATATGACTATGAAATGAGAATAAAAGTATTTTTCACCGGTATGTACTTTGTTCCACGTGATAAGCACGTGAGAATTATATAATACAATATGTATGTGTGTGTTTAGGACGAAAATGTAAGAAAATGTAGTTTTTGAAATAAATAAAAAAATGCAGTAGACAAATCGAAGACTCTATTACTGTAGAAAACAAAATTTCATTATTCCAATTTTTGTAAAATCTTAATTTATCTCCTTAATCGTTCACAATATTTTATGTTTTGTTTTAACTAAATACAATCAAAATTTGATGTAAATTTTAGGATAAAATATGTATAGATAGGAAAATTTGAGTGATTTTTCTCTTTTACCCTCATTTATAGTCATATGTTTGTCGCATTACCGACTTCTATTAAAGACTTATACGACGGAGTAACAAAAGGGAGACATTGACATTTGACTACTAATGCATGGAGTTAACTGTCACGATTTCATAAGTGCAAACGATTGACATTTGTGTGTGTGCGTGTGAATCGTTCAACTTGGAGAAGCTAGCTGAGCCGTGGTGTTTGACGAGGCTGGGGAAAGATGTAATATTGGGATGAGAGGGATTTTCTTTTTTTTTGGGGGGGGGGGAGAGTGAAGGCTTGTTATTAGCTGTCGTGATTGGAAGATGGTATTTTTCATTTTTCAGGGTGAACTTCGCATTTCTATATTTTGTATCAAATTTTACTTTAATTTTTACATATAAAATTATAATAATCATTTTTTTATATTTTTAGTCAAATCTTATTTTAGTTCTTACATATAAAATCGTAACAATCAATCCCCTATACTTATGGTCAAGTGTCGTTTTGCCCTTTCTATTATTCCATTATTTAAATTTTTAACAAAATTCAGTCATATAACAAATATGTGACTACGAAATGAGAGTAAAAAAGAAAAATCATTTTCATTTTTCACCAATATATACTTTGTTCCACGTGATATGCATGTGAGAATTATATAATACAATATATATGTGTGTGTCTGTTTAAGACGAAAACGTAAGAAAATGTAGTTTTTGAAATAAATAAAAAAATGCACTAGACAAATCAAAGACTCTATTACTATAGAAAACAAAATTTTATTATTCCAATTTTTTTTAAATCCTAATTTACCTCCTTAATCGTTCACAATATTTTACGTTTTGTTTTAACTAAATACAATCAAAATTTGATGTAAATTTTAGGACAAAATGTGTATAGACAGGAAAATTTGGGTGATTTTTCTCTTTTACACTCATTTATAGTCATATGTTTGTCGCATTACTGACTTCTGTTAAAGACTTATATGACGGAGTAACAAAAGGAAGACATTGATATTTGACTAGTAATGCAAGGAGTTAACTGTCACGATTTCATAAGTACAGAGGGTTAACTGTCATGATTTCATGTGTAAGGACCAAAGTGAGATTTAATCAGAAATGTAGAGGGTTGACTATCACGATTTCATGTATATAGACCAAAGTGAGATTTGGTGCAAAGTGCAGGCTTACAAAGTGTAATTTATCCTATTTTTTATTCAAGAAATTTCAATTTATTGTAACTTTAAAAAAAAAATTACATATAATTGATAAATTTTATACATATTAATAATTAAAGTAATTTTATTTACACAACATAAATTTTCTAAAGGGGGATTTTTTTTAGAGTCCCTACTATTAAGTTTTTATAGCATAAAGGACATTCAATATTTTCATAATGTCTAATGTCCTTCACACATCGATCCAGAGAAATTTCAATCTAGAGAAAATTGAAATTTCTCTGGTTTGCACAAATTTCTCTAGTTTGCAAATTTCTCTGATTTGTACAAATTTCTCTGGTTTGCAAATCTCTTCAAGCTTTTATTTCAGACATTGAAACTGAAATATTTTCATTGGAGTTCGATAAAATAAAGCTAATTGTGTGGTTGTGTTTCACGACGGTGGTGGTTGTTCGGTTTTCTAGCAGTGGTGGTGGTTATGTTGAGGGCGTGGTCTTGGGTTGTTTTGCATCATTCGACGAACTTGAGGCGACCATGGACGGTGGTTCTCATAGGGAGAGTGTATTAGTGAAGAAGAGTTGAGAATTTTGATCTGGAAAGAGGGGTTTGTGATGAGGGGTTTCATTGATTGACATTTTGGGTTGAAATTGACATCAATGGAACTACTGGGTTGTGAATGGAATGGAAGGGATGATTGATTAGCTCACTACTCCAAAAAATCGCTATTACAGAGAGAAGAGAGAGAACATGGGTGATGCAGGAGATGGGCTCTCTTTCTGCAATGGTACATGAGGAAACTCCACGATTTCTTCTTTGCTCTGGTGGACGAAGGCGGCGGTAGAGAAGAACCAGATAGTGACGGAGGATTAAACAATGGCGAAGGTGGTGGAGCACACTCTCAACTTCGATGAAAGCAAACAAAATAGAGCTTGATTTGAGAAAATCAAATTTCTCTATGATATATGGGTATCAAGGGTTAAGGGACCTTAGATATTACAAAATAATATTATGGATCTCTTCCATTATTAAAAATAGGAGAAGGACCTTGCACTAATTTTTCCTTTTCTAAATACATTATATTACAATAATATCTTTAAATAAAAGAATTATTAAGGACAATGATTGTGTGTATTCAAAGAATTAATACATCAAAATACAAAATACATACATCAAAACACAAAATATTATATGTACACCATAATAGGAATAGACTTTCATAATCTTCTCAAATTTCCAATGAGACTCCTCCTTATGAGATAAGACTCTTGAAGCAAGAATTTTGAGTCAAAATTTTGAAATATATATATATATATATAAGAAAGAAAGAGAAAGAAAATAAAAGAAGAAGAAAAAAAAGTTAAAAACAAAATAATAATAAAAAAAGGGGCAACCCTCAAAACCCGGTCTGGGTCACTGGTTTTGCCGGTTTGACCGTTGGGCCTTCTAGTTTTGCTCCCACTCTAGTTTTAGGGAGTTCGCTAGACCGGAATAAGGCCCTGTTCCCGGTCCGACCGGACGGTCTAGTTCGGATTTCAAAACATTGGTATCCATTGCTAGCATTGAAGATCTTGGATTATGATCTTCTGAAAATAGTGATTGTCACATTTGAATCTCACTTAAGTTAATTTTTGAATCTGAATCTCACTTAAGTTAATTTTTGAATCTGGCTTGACACTGATTGTCTGAACATATTATTATTATACAACAAAATATAATTGAACAATTGATTTTTTTAATCAACAAAAGAATGAAAACTTTATTAATGAAACGCACATACAATTTATGTGAATATTTATCAATAAAGGAGGCGCGAGTGCAAAGAGCATAGGTTCTCCTAGTTGAATAGTTATTAATATGTTCCAATTAATTCTGCTGAACAAAATAATAAGTTCATACTTTTTATGATGAACAATTTTAACTCATTTGGACTTATTATGTCTATTTTTTATGTATGAATATTTAATATTTGATCAATCTTAATAATTTGAAAAAAATAATTTTATTTGCATATAAATATTTAAATATTGTATAAATGTTTAACTCTGATTATTTAAACGCGTAATGAACAAAATCATCATCCCAATGATTTTACAAATAAGGGAAAAAAAAAAGAAACAAAAAGTCCTGTTTGTAAACAGTAATTTGTCTTTTTCAATGTTGTATTGTTTCGAAGCAATAATCAAAGTGTCATCCATGATATGTAAATTTACAGAATTGATTGATTTCAATGTTCTTTAAACCCTAAATTTTTAAATATAATAATAATATTTTAAGTTATGGATAGAAGTACAGTAGAGAAAAAGAATTTATCTATATTATAATGAAAAAAATGATGAAATGCACCCTTAGTTGTAATCTTTGTGTCTTTGGTTATGACTTATTATATTATTAGTTATGACTAATTGTGATATTTGTTATAATATTATTTTGGTTGTGATCCATGAGTTTTTTTGTTATACATTATGAGATATTTGATTATAATTCTTTATTTTATTTTATTTTATTTTATGTTTTTTAAAGTTATGACTCGTGTAAGATTAAATTATGGCATTTGTGGTAATCAAATCCACAAATGACGTAACTTATATATAATATACACCATAGCATTTATCATCTATATGTGATGGTGTACATATAATATTTTGTATTTTGATGTATATAGTATTTTGTATTTTGATGTATGAATTCTTTGAATACACACTATCATTGTCCTTAATAATTCTTTTATTTAAAGATATTATTTTAATATAATGCATTTAGAAAAGGGTTAGAAAAGGGAAAATTAGTTTAAGGTTCTTCTCCCATTTTTAATAATGGAAGAGATTCAAAATATTATTTTGTAATGTCTAAGATCCCTCAACCCCCGACACCCATATATTACAGAGAAATTTGATTTCCTCAAATCAAACTCTGTTCTACACTTGGCTATCATCGAAGTTGAGAGCGTGTTGCGCCACTTCCGCCGTCATCTGGTTCTTCTCTACCGCCGCATTCGTCCACCGAAACAGAGAAGAAATTGTGGAGTTCCCTCATGCACCATTGCAGAGAGAGAGCCCATCTCCTACATCACCCATGTTCTCTCTCTTCTCTCTGTAATTGTGGTTTTTTAGAGTAGTGAGCTAATCAATCATCCATTCCATTCCATTCACAACCTAGTAGTTCTATTGATGTCAATTTCAACCCAAAATGCCAATCAATCAAACCCCTCACCGCAACCTCCTCTTTCCAGATCAAAATTCTCAAATCTCCTCTGCCAATACACTCTCTCCATGAGAACCACCGTTTGCGGTCGCTTCAAACTCGTTGAACAATGCAAAATAACCCAAGACTACGCCCTCGACATAACCACCACCACCCCCGTGAAACATAACCACACAATCAGCTTTATTTTATCAAACTCCAATGAAAACATTTCAGTTTCGGTGTCTGAAATAAACACTTGAAGAGATTTGCAAACCAGAGAAATTTCAATTTTTTTCTGGATTGAAATTTCTCTAGATCGATGTGTGAAGAACCTTTAGACATTATGAAAATATTGAATGTCCTTTATGCTATAAAAACTTTAATACCAGGGACCTTAAAAAAAATCTCCCTCTAGAAAATTTATGTTATGTAAATAAAATTACTTTAATTATTAATATGTATAAAATTTATCAATTATATGTAATTTTTTTAAAAGTTATAATAAATTGAAATTTCTTGAATAAAAAATATGATAAATTACACTTTGCAAGCCCGCACTTTGTACCAAATTTCACTTTAGTCTATGTACTGAAATCGTGATAGTCAACCCTCTACATTTTTGATTAAATTTCACTTTGGTCTTTACACATGAAATCGTGACAGTTAACTCTCTGCGCTTATGAAATCATGACAGTTAACTCCTTGCACTTATGAAATCGTGACAGTTAACTCCTTGCATTACTAGTCAACTATTAATGTGTCTCTTTTGTTACTCCGTCATATAAGTCTTTAACAGAAGTCAGTAATGCGACAAATATATGACTATAAATGAGGGTAAAAGAGAAAAATCACCAAAATTTTCCTGTCTATACACATTTTGTCTTAAAATTTACATCAAATTTTGATTGTATTTAGTTAAAAACAAAACGTAAAATATTGTGAACGATTAAGGAGATAAATTAGGATTTTACAAAAATTGGAATAATGAAATTTTGTTTTCTACAGTAATAGATTCTTCAATTTGTCTAGTGCATTTTTTTATTTATTTCAAAAACTACGTTTTCTTACATTTTCGTCCTAAACACACACACACATATATATTGTATTATATAATTCTCACATGCTTATCACGTGGAACAAAGTATATACTGGTGAAAAATGAAAATGATTTTTCTCTTTTACTCTTATTTCGTAGTCACCTATTTGTTATATGACTGAATTTTGTTAAAAACTTAAATAATGGAATAATAGAATGGACAAATAGATATTTGACCATAAGTATAGGGAATTGACTGTTACGATTTTATATGTAAGAACTAAAGTATAGGAGATTGATTGTTACGATTTTATATGTAAGAACTAAAGTAAGATTTGACTAAAAGTATAAAAAATTAATTATTATAATTTTATATATAAGGATCAAAGTAAAATTTGATACAAAATATAGAAATGCAAAGTTCATCCTAAAAAATGAGAAATACCATCTTCCTTTGGTTTGATTTTGGGAGATGAGTTTGGGAGATAAAAAGTACGAAAAGTTGTTTGGTTTGGTTTTTTTTAGAAAGATGTTTTGGAAAATTATTTTGAGAGAGAGTTTTGGAAAAAGTGATTGATTTGATGTGTATGAGAGAGATTTGTTTGGAAAACTTGTTTGGTTTACAAGTTTTGAGAAATTTTTTTGAGAAAATTTGTTTGGTTTGAGTTTTTCTGAAACCTCATTTGTAGAGAAATTTTCCCAAAAAATTTTGGGAAATTCAAACCAAACGATTCCAAACACGACAGCAAATAGCAAGCCTTAAATCCCCCCAAAAAGAAAATCCCTATTTTCTCAATGTTCTTACATCTTTCCCCAGCCTCGCCAAACACCACCGCTCAGCTAGCTTCTCCAAGTTGAACGATTCACAAACACACAAACCAAAAAAAAAAGAAAAAAGAGAAAGCTTGAACTGCTAAAAAAAGTAGGCATGAAACGAAAGAGGAATCAGAGGAAAAAGAAAGTAATCGATGATGGTGAAAAAGAAGAAGAAGAAGAAGAAGACAAAGACAGAATCAGCAGTTTACCAGATTCCATTCTTCACGAAATCCTCTCTTCCATGGACGACCTCGCCTCCGCAATTCAGACCTGCGTGCTGTCAAAACGATGGAGGTATGTTTGGACTTCCCTCCCCAACCTCCGCTTCGATTTCGATCAACTAGATGAGGTCAGAATGTCTCGTTTCAAACGCTTCGTCAATCAGGTATTGTCTCTCCGAGATAACAACTCCAATGTCTACAGATTCTACTTCTCGTCCGGTTATCTTGTTGACCCCTGCCTGTTCAAGAAATGCATATCTTACGCAGTTCGCCACAATGTTCAACAACTCCATCTCAACGCATTTGGTTATACAGAGCTCGATGATTTTCCTCTCTGCTTCTTTAACTATGCCTCTTTAAAAGAACTTAAATTGGCCAATTGTGGCAACAATAGTATGCTTCTGGACAAGCCCTTGCGATTTCCGGCATTAAAGACTTTGCATCTTAATCGTTTCGGACATGACTCTGCCAATTTCATCACTCAGACTGTTGGGAATTGTCCCAATTTGGAAACTTTGATTTTGGATTGCTTATACCTTAATTGTTTTATGCTGTCTTTGGTTGGGGATTTGGAAAGAGATTTGGAAAGAGAAACAGAAAAGATAGGTGAAATAAGAATAAAATATACCTATATTTCACCGAATTTCACACCCCTTTTCCCTTTCCATTTCTAAATCACTCCCCAAATCTCCCAACCAAACACGGCATTAATATCACTGCCCCTAAACTTAGGAAGTTGGAATTATGTTACGCTGAAGATTCTCTTGGACTGTATTATGAATCGGAGATTGTGATTTCAGCACCTAGACTGACTTCATTCAAGTTCGAAGGTTATGCTTCGCCTGTCTTTTCTCCGGCCAGCTTTCCCTGTTTGGACCATGTATATGTCGATGCGATCCCAATGTTTTATAGGTTTCAGCTTGCTTCAATCGTCAAGGAAAGGATGCCACTCAATGTGATCAATATGCTTGGACAGCTTCGAGAAGCAAAATCCATTACACTGTCCCTGTCGACGCTTGAGGTAATTTGATACTATTGATTGTATTGTTGAACCATCTCTCATGTGCTTTAGCTAAAAATTGGATTTTAAATAATATGTCATAAAAATACATTACTGTTATTTGGTAAGTTCAAGATGTGATGTTATGCTGAGTTTCTCACATGCCACCTTCGTAATTTAGCCAACATGGCTGCAGTGAAATTGAAATTTGAAATTGTGCTTTTATCTCAAAGTGAAATCATCACTTGAATGCATGCTTTTACACAAAAATTATATTGCAAATGGAACATGCATCTCCAGACTCCATTCAGCGTCATTGAACCAAAATCCGAAATCGTCAAAGCGAAATCGTCACTTGAATGCATGCTTTTACACAACAATTATATTGCAAATGGAACATGCAACATTACCCTCGGTCACATGTGACCCCTTTTACGACAGTTACTACTATCTGATGTCTTGTTTTTTAGGCCATCTGTTCGCAAATGCCAGGAATTTCGCTTTATCTGTATCCGTATTGTATCGTATCCATATCCATGCTTCCTAGGGGCAGGTGGAAATTACAGTGGATGAATTGAAGGATGCTTTCTTCAGACTCCATTCAGCGTCATTGAACCAAACCCATCACATTGTCTAGGGATTAAGAAAGTCTTTTTTTAGCTAGGGTTTCACAGGGTGAACTCGAGGAATGATGGTAGCTTACATATATTGCTTCTTTGATGTCCATGAAGGGAATGCATCAGCAATTGATTTGTTCAGTCAGATTCTAGTTCTGGTGTCGATAGAAGTATGAGAATGACATGTGGACTGGAAGTCCTTCCTCAAGTGTCCAAGAGCTAGCGCTGTAGTAAATTCTCGCATTGATTTACCATTTTGATTCGTACCAAATTCTTATGTGGTGAAGCCCTTGAGATATCACATTTGTTCTCCACCTTGATCACTGAAAAAAGGAATCAGATATACTAAAAGCCTTGTCTATTAGTTGTGCATCTTTTACAGCCTTCCACTTTCAAAGATGAAAAAATTTAATTGCCGAGCTTACTTCTAGCTTCCCCAATTTTGGAGTTATGAAGTTCGGTTGTTTAAGAAGTTTGAGATGCAAAAAAAATTTCCCCAGTCATCAACTTTGGGAATTTCCATAACTTTTGTAGTTTATTTTATTTTTTAAATTACATTTCTGCATTTGACAATCGATTGTAAATTTCTATTTATTATCACTAGAATGTTAATGATATGAAAAGCTGTAGTTATACTTTCATTGAGTTGATTAAACTCTCAAACATAGCACAAAACAAGGAAAGATTCTAAGCTCAAATCTCATTGCTTGTCCAATAATAAATTATATCCATGTGTTTATTCACTCTTGGGGAGGAGTTTGGCCACACATGAGGTGCGGTGCTTCTTAGTTTATAAATTATAACTGCTTTTAGGAGTAATTGGCTCACCTTTGTGGACTAGGATGGCAAATAACTATCTTAGTAAACTGTCTGCTTTTGTAATTTTTTGAAATTAGTAACAAGATTGCTATGATACCCTTGGTAGTGCATTTCCATAGATTATGATGTTCCATCCAATTTTTACCAAATATTATAGTATGGTAGTCATTTAAATCAAATTGAGTAGTTACAAATAGTCATGCTGAATTTCGATTGTGGTATATCGTAGATATTTGCTGCACTTCCAGCCTCATATATAACAATGTACAATTTGTTGTAGGCATGTGGATCATATATAAAAATAAATAAGCACTCACCAACTACTACTTGTTATTGCCTAATTCTATCTTTAAATTGTCTTAGCTATTGAGTACAAATTAATTTTCTGTTTTTATTTGTTTTGCATATGGTAAGGTTCTTGCAATGGATCCTGATTCTCTCAGAAGCCATCCTTCTCCATTTCACAAGTTGAAGCATCTACAGTTGACACAAGGAGGATCATCGTCGTCTTTATCTCTACCGCTAAATGTGATTAACTACTTGAGCCAAGGTTTATCATGTGGCGGAACCTTGGTTATGAACTTCTTCCCTAGGTAATAATCGATCCATTTTTATACATGTTTGTACCCTTTAAAATGCACATGCCTTGTGTAAATAATTTTAAAAGTTAAAATTTGGTACAAACTACCTTGTTCAACTCATGATCTAATCTTTACTTTGATTTTGTTTTTTTTGTTTTGTTTTTTATGTCCTTAGGTGTAAATGGAAAGCATTCACAATGAAAAATGGTAAGTGTTAAGAATACTGATTAGCGTTCTCATTTGTCATGTCTATGAATCCTGTGCTTGTGATTCTTTTTCTAAAATTATATTTCTTTTTCTTTTTCTTTTTGTAAATTTATTTTTTATTTTTTTTCTTCTTTTCTTGAACGCAGTAAGTGGCAATAAATTGTCAACTCCATGCTTTAATACCATAGATTTCAAGCAGTCTGGTAATTATGAATGATTTATTGTTGGGAATCAAAAAATGTTGGCAAACTTGATCATGTTATGTGATATCTTGAAGACGCATTATGATACAATAACAAAAAATTCTACGGTAAAATATTTGCAAACATTGTAGAAACTTGGAAAGAACCTTCATGTAGATGACATGGAACATGTGAATATTTGTAGCTATCAAATTGTTTCAGTAAGAAAAACCAAACTTTAGAGTTGCAAGTAAATTTAAATCCAAAAATTTAGATTGGTTTCTATCAGAGAAAGTCTTTCATGATTTATAAGGTTCAAAAAATTTCAGTACGTGGCTGAAATTTGATGGGTTTAGGGAGAGTGGAAAAATGGTGAAAGTGCTATAAGGTGTAGGAGAACTAGGTTTCATTTTAGTTGCACCGAGCCTAAGGTTGAGGCCGTCTTGACAAACATTAATCAACGTTGATTTCCTCTTTCTACCAATAAATAAATAAATAAAACAATTAGTTATTTTAATATACGTGATTTTATATATGTATAATGTAGTTGTATTGATATTTATTTATTTCATTTTAAACACTGTGTATATTTTTATTTGTATATGCATGTATAAAATTATTTAATATTTAAATAAAAATAATCTTATGATTCTCAATTTGATATGATTCATATTTCACTTATTTAGCAAATTGATTCTCAATTAGATTCATGATTTGACAACAATGGCCTGGGATACATGACAACATATTATTCGTCTCTATTATTTCTTTAATAATTAGTTCCTAAACTAATCATGAGTATCCATATAGACTGTTATAATTGATGTATAAAGAGAAATAGAGAATTGTATTATTGATTGATATATTGATATTTTTTGTCTATTACAAATGGTTCCTTATATAGATGTAGGTGTAGTGGATGGTGTGTAGTGGATGGTGATAGTGGTGTAGTGGGTTAGGTTTAGTGGAGTAGGTGAGGTGGTAGTGGTGTAGTGGGTTAGGTGTAGTGGAGTAGGTGAGGTGGTAGTGGTGGTAGGTGATGGTAAATTCTAACATAGACTATGAAGCACGGACACCTCCCCGGAGCCTACGTACGAGTGTCGGACATGGACACAAGTCAGACACGCTGTGGACAGGTGTTCGACACTCTCCCTAACGTGTCCCATTTTATTTTATTTTATTTTTTTGAATTTTTCTAGTCGGACATGAGGTGGATACGCGATGACACGTTTCAGACACACGCGAGGTGGATCGAAGAAGCCCTAACTTGTTGGAGAGAGAGAGAGAGAGAGAGGGAAGAGATTGAAGAAGCCCTAACCTGTATCGTGATGACATGTTTTTTTGTCTCTCTGTTCTTCTTCTTTTCATCTTCTCCTCTTTTGATTTCGTCTTCTCCTCTTCATTTCTTCTTATTCTCCTCCCTCTTTTGAATTCATTTCTCTTCCCTCCCTCTTGTGATTTCGTTTCTCTCCCTTTTCTTGATTTCATTTTTCTTTTTTGTTTCCATTTTGTTCCTCTTTTTTTGTTTCCTTTTTTTTTCCCCTTTTTTTTGATTTCGTTTCTCCTTTTTTTTTAAATTTTTTTTTTTTTTTATTTTTATTTTTATATTTCGTTTCTTTCCTTTTTTTATTTCCCCTCGCTTTTTTATTTCCTTTTTTCCTTGATTTCCTTTTTTTTTTGGTATGCTTTTTTTTTTTCTTTTTCACATGGGGGTTTCTATCTTTGTGTTTCCTAAAATTCATAGAACAAATTATTTTTATTTGGAAAAAATTAATTTTTATTAAATTTTTTATGTAATATGTTTATTAATTTTATTATTATTGTAATTTTATAGGAACCGATTTTTTTTTTTTAATTTTTTTTTTAGAGCTTTCTTTCTTTTGTCTGTGCCCATCTATCTACTATTACGTACATATAATAAATAAATGAAATTATATATATTAAACGTGTCCCAGCGTGTCGCTTTCCTTATTTTTTGAAAATTTGCGTGTTCGCATGTCCATGTCATGTCCCGTGTCGCGGTCCCGTGTCCATGTCCATGCATAATAGCATATAGACATGATACAAAACAGTGACAAAAAATTGGTGACACAGCATTTCTCCTAATAATTCCGTCTTACACCTTTGGCTCTTAGGGTCATTTTGTGTTGTGCAAATTGCGATTGGAGTATCTCAAGTAACAGTAATGCTACAGAGCCCGAATATAGAGGCTCGAATTTGGCTCGAAATTAGGGGAAGAAGAAGGAGGAAGAGGAGGAGAAGAAGGAGAAGAAGAACTCAACTGGAGGGGCCAACAAAATCGGGCGGAGGCGGAGGTGGAGGTGGAGGCGGAGGCGGCGACGGGCGGAGGCAGAGGTGGAGGCGGGGCTGCGATGCCGACGAGCGACGAGGGACGAGCTGTGAGATCGGCCGACGAGCTGGGACGCCGACGGGCTGCGATGCCGACGACGACCTGCGTTCTCGCTCTCGCTCTCGCCTCTGTGTTCTTCTCTCTCTCGCCTCTGCAACGAAGAAGAAGAAAGAAAAGGAAGAAAAGAAAAGGAAGAAAAAAAAAAAAATCAAAATCAAAACCCAAAACGACGTCGTTTTGGGTTTTGAGCTCTGTTATCAGAATCTTACGATTCACGATTCGATTCACGATTCGATACGCAATTTTTGCAAAATCAATACGAATCTATGAGTGAATCTATTTTGGAAGTGAATCTCTATTGAATCGCACGATTTACAATCGATTCACGATTCGATTCACTTTTTACGATTCATGCAATTTTTAAAATTATTGTGTTCGACATATTTTCGACTCATTTTTTTCATCTTTTTAGTGAAAATGACATAATATAACTTCTAATAGCATTTAATACCAAAATAACCAACATATATATATGATTTTTTGTTATTTTAGTGATCATGGAGTTTTTTATAGGATCCAATCAGATTCAGTTAGACCTAACATATTTTTAACCTTTCTTTTTATTTTTTTCCCCTTCAAAAAATTGTAATATATCTTTTAAAGATGTTTAAGATTAAAGTTACACTATGAATTATCTATTATTATTTTATTAAATTGAATATTACATGTATGAGGTCAGTTATACCATTTAAAATGTTTTAGGCTTTAAAATAAAATATCCTAAATAATTCTTTCTTATTATTTGCTCACTCTTACTTAAAAAAGTATATATGCTTATTGTCCAAATATCAATATCGTTGTTAACTATTGTTACTTTAGAAATTAATAATTTGTCTATTTGGTTATTATCTTTATTAAGAATGGTTGATAAAAAAATATCTATAAAAAAAATAAAAAATAAAAAATAAAAAAAAGAAGATAAGATGGTGATTTTACATAAGAACCTTTGTTAACTTCTTACCTATTAAATTATGTGATTATCATTCAAAATAACATTTTTTGTTGATTTAAGTCTAAATATTTTATATTCATAAGATATATTTAACATCTAAATGTGTAGATATATGTTTTTAAGTAATTTAGAAAAAGTGACCGAATCTTTACGATTCACGATTCGATTTGATTCGCGATTCGGTACGAGGCCATTTCGATTCACGATACGAATCCCGATTTGACAACTATGGTTTTGAGCTAAATTCGAGCCACTAATTTCGGGCCCTCAAACATTATTCCTCAAGTAATAAATGTGTGTTGGTACATATCGTAGGCTGTGTTTGAACCCGTACAATTTGAGTCTCTCTTACCCTGAACCCTCCGATTAGATGAAGTTATCAACGGTTAATCTCCAATTGATTTATGTACTGGGGCACAACAACAAGGCCTGTTTGATTAGTAGGATTAATAATGATGGAATTAACAATTTATGAGATTAGTGAAGGATTGGTTATCAGTTGGCTTAGCGAGATACATAATGCTCACTTATTCTCATTTGTTTTGTAGTATATGTGGATATGTATGTGTTATTAGTCATAGGATTACAAAATCCGTTAATTTTGTTGGATAGAATGGCCAATGAAATATAATCCAAATAATAAAATTTGCAACCAAACAATGAAATGCGAATCTCATAGATTAAGGCCTCGTTTGGGAACATGCTTTTGTAATAATTTTTTGGCTTTTTGGCTAAAATATGATGTAAAAAAACTAGTATGTTTGGGATGAATTTTTGGCTTTTTACGAAAAGATGTGCAAAAAGTAGATAGAAAAGGGAATCTTTGACTTTTTGGTATGGGCTGTTTGCTTTTTGATTTTTTTAGTAACTTTTTGACTTTTTGACTAAAAAAGGCACTTGCCAAATGAGGCCTAATAATCCAAATTCTATGCTATAATACGTCCAATCAAACAAGCCCCAAGAGGATTGCCGTACTTGCTTACATATAAAATTATTTTCAAGTTTTGGATGTAGATATTATTTTTACAGAATCGTGCTTTAATTCATAGATATTATATTTCATGCTGTTATCACTGTTTGTGCATATCAATCTTCGCAAATCCTTCAAGTTCAGCTCCAAAT